AAGAGGGAGGTAGCAATGAGATCGGAGGTCTTCAGATGGCCGCAGGGAGGCAACAGAGGGAGGGGGCTGAGGAAAAGAAGCAGGGCACAAGGAAGTACTAAAATGAGGATGGTTAATGCGTTGTTTTCCCCACGCAAGAAGGCTACGGAAAAACCAGGTATCCGTAATGAAGATTATTTCAAGCAACCGGAAGGAAGGGGTACTTTAAACCCGAAATCCGGATAGCAGAATAATTAATTTTATGGATCACGGCTCTCTAAAAATAAAGAAGAGTAAGTAGGTTTGGGATAATGAGGTTGAATATTTTTTAATTTTAATAACTTCTTGGAGCATTTTGTATCTTGTTGGTTTAAAGGTTAGAATGGACCTAGTGTTTTGGTGTTCTTTTTCCATGTTTTCACAGCTACCTATTAAGGTTATGCAATGGATAAATAATATTGATTGTTGGTGTTATTGGTACTAGGGTTATTTTGGATTTATAGATTGGCTATTCAATAATTTTGACATCAATGGTAAGCTCGCGAATAATGATGGAAAGTCGGTTTGGTGGTGTTGGTACTTGACAGTAATGGGTGTTCTAGTAGAGTTCAACAGCTATTCAGATTTTGATTTTTGTATTGAGGGACCTTGTTGTACGTTTGAGGTGTTGAGACTCAGATATACAGAGACTTAGTATCAGACAAGTGTGACTTTATTTGTGAATAGACTTTGGCTGTGGTGGGTCTCCTCAAACCAACCACGTCCCAAGCTCTGGCACAGTCTGTTTTGGTACAGGTTTAAGGCAACTGGGAAGGGACAAATGGTCTGGAAACGGAACAAGGTGGTGCGATTAGGATATGGGTTTCATTCTTTGTTAATTTTTTCTGCTACTACGGGAATGATGTATATAATTGCCTAATAACTTTGTTTAGTGAACAAGGATTGTATTTGGTTTTGGTTTGGTCTTGATTACCATTATTATCGGCCCACAAATGTTGCACGAATTGTCATTATGTATAATGTTATCATGTTATGTAGTCTGGATATGCGGGCAGGAGATCTCATTATACTGAAATGAAGGAAATGGGGTGGGCAGATCCCATTATTAGGCCCAATTACTATTTTATAATGGGCCAGAAAGTTAATGCATTTATACGTTTGTTGGAGTTCAAGTTACTATGGTTCAAGGCTTCAATTTACAAATGGTGGTCCTTTGGATCAAACTTTTATTAGGAATGAATAGGGTTGCTTCACACCCTCATACTAGCTCCATGGAGCAGTCTGACAAGGTTTTTAGGAATGGTGGGATCTGACCATCGGCCAGTAGTGGCTTTCCTGGAGACTAAAGTGCCAAGACGTAGAGGTCAGTTCCTGTTTGATAAAAAGTGGGTTGGGCATGAAGGTTTTTTGGAAGCAATTGAGAGGATGGAGTAAAGCAGTTCCGGATAACACGAGTATATTTGTCTCGAAGTTGATTAATTTCCGTCATGAGATGTCAACTTGGCGTAAGAATAACCCATCGTATATAAAAGAGAAGGTTGGTGAACTTCAAAAATCCCTCGAAGAATTTTAAACGGATAATAGCAGATCTCAGGAAGATATTTTAGAGGTGTCGAGGAAATTTTCGGAGGCTTATAGAGACGAAGAAGAATACTGGAATCAAAAGAGTCGCAATATGTAGAACACAACAGGAGATCTCAATACCAAATTCTATCATGCCCTTACCAAACAGAGGCAAGCTACTAATAGGATTGTCGGGCTTTATGACGCTGATGGTAATTGGATACTAGAGGAACATGGTATAGAAAAGATTGCAGTGGATTATTTTGATGAATTATTTCGGACGACGGCTCCCTTAGTGTTTAATGGTTTTTTGGAGGAAGTTTCAACTTCCATTTCCCCACAGATGAATCAACATTTAATTCACCTGGAAACAAAGGAGGAAATACGACAAGCTTTGTTTATGATGCATCCACAAAAATCTCTAGGGCCCGACGGCTGACAGCTCTATTTTTTCAACATTCTTGGCATATTATCACAAAATACCTATTGGAGCTGGTTAATAATTTTTGACCTCGGGGAAGCTGGATTCAAGTTGAAATATTACAAATATTTGCTTGGTTCCAAAAAAGGAGAGGCTTACGAAGATGACGGAACTTCGATCCATTAGTTTATGTAATGTAGGACATAAGATCATATCAAAGATATTATGACAGAGGTTAAAGGCATGTCTCACTCCACTTATTTCGGAAACACAATCGGCATTTGTGTTGGGAGATTGATTTCGGATAACATCCTTATAGCTCACGAGATGTTCCATGGGTTAAGGGCTAAAAAACCTGTCAAAATAAGTTTATGGCAATCAAAACGGATATGAGTAAAGCATATGACGGAGTTGAATGGACATTTATTCAGAAACTTCTCATCAAAATGGGTTTTGATATCCATTGGACGAACTTAATGATAGAATGTATTTCTTCGGTAGAATACAGAGTTCTGCTGAATGGCCAACCGAAGGGGCACATTATTCCATAGAGAGGGCTACGACAGGGGGATCCTTTATCATCCTACTTGTTTATTTTGTGCACGGATGCACTGATAGCAAACATCAATAAGGCTAAGAGGGAAAAACGGTTGACGAGTATCAAGATGGCGAGGGCTTCCCCCTCAATTTCTCATCTCCTTTTCGCAAATGATAGTCTTTTCTTTTGCAAAGCTAAGAGAGAAGAATGTTAGACTATTCTTAGGATCCTGAAGGATTATGAGGGGGTATCAGGTCAGCAGATTAATTTTGAAAAATCTTTGATTCAGTTCGGCTATAAGATAGAGGAATCTCTTCGCCAAGAGTTCCATGATATTTTGGGTATACATGATTTAGGTTGAATGGGTTCGTACCTGGGATACCGGAGAATTTGGGTGGCTCAAAGATACAAGTTTTTGGTTTCATTCCGGTTCGTTTAAATAATCGAGTAAATGATTGGACTTTTAAGTTTTTCACCAAAGGGGGTAAGGAAGTAATTATTAAATCTGTGATCACCGCATAGCCTAACCATGTAATGTCATGTTATCGTATCCCAAAGATGGTACTGAGGAAGTTAACAAGTGCAGTGGCACAGTTTTGGTGGAGTCCAGGGAGAAACTCTAGAGGTTTGCATTGGAAATCTTGGGATAAACTATGCAGCCCAAAGGACGAAGGAGTATTGGGATTCAAAGATCTTATGGATTTTAATACTGCTATGCTTGGCAAGCAACTTTGGAGATTGCTGGAGAAACCAGATTCTTTATTCTCTAGCGTCTTTAAAGGAAAGTACTTCAAGAATACATCACCCCTGGAACCAATTAGATCATACTCGCCGTCATATGGCTGGCGCATTATTATCTCTGCTAGATCCCTGGTTAGCAAAGGACTAGTCAAACGGGTGAGATCATGTTCATCCATCTCAGTATGGAATGATCCCTGGCTCCAATCCACTTGCCCGAGACCAGCAAACAAAAATCAAAATATTTCTTGCTCGGACCTCACTGTTGATATTCTTATTGATGCAACAACAGGGGCATGGAACTCACAGGTCATTCATGATTTGGTGGACGCATACAATGCGAAACTTAGTGAAAGTATACCTTTGGGGAGGAGTCAAACAAATGATAGGAATGGGTGGCATTTTAAAAACAATAGGAGATATACAATTAAATCTGGGTATCAAGTGAAACGAATGTACCCAGATGGAGATCTAATACAGCCAGAATACGGGCCTTCGGTTACTCCATTGAAGGCCTTCTCCTGGAAGATAAGATGTCCACCAAAGATGAAGCATTTTTTATGGCAACTAATTTCAGGCTGTATAGCAGTAAAGAAAAACTTAGTCCCTGGGATTTCAAGGGGAGTTAAGTTGCGCACGATGTGGAGCACCTTAGGAATCGATAAATCATGTGTTCTTTTAATGCCCACCAGCGGTGCAGATTTGGGCACTTTCATGAATTCCATCTAATCCGGATATCTTTCCTCGGCAATCACTGTTCGGCAATATGAATCATCTTTTTTGGAGAGTTTATCCGGCAATGGAAGATCACCAGTTTGCATGGATTGTATGGTACATTTGGAAAACTAGAAACAATAAAGTTTTTAGTAACCTGGATATGACTCGAGAGATACTCTTAAACTGGCAGTGACAAAATCCTTATTGTGGGATGAGGCACAAACTGCTCTTTCACAGAGGGGTGCTAAGGTGCGGCCAAGGACTGACAATTTGGTGCCTTCTATCCCAGGGAGATGGTGTTTTACGGATGGATCTTGGAAATCTGAAGATATGTTCTCTGGTCAAGGGTGGTACAACACTCTAGAGGGATTTGATTGATGGCTTAATGGGAGCGAGGAACTCAAGAACGAGCCAATCGCCTCTTCACTCGGAAGTAGAAGCGTTCATCTAGGCTATGGAATGTATGAAGAATTTAAGACAATATTCAGTTACTTTGACAACAAATTGTTATTAGTTGGTGAAGATGGTTTCGGCACCCGAAGAATGGCCAGCATTTGCAACTTTGGAAAGACATAAGGAGTTTGAAGAATTCTTTCCATAGATCAGAGCTCATTCATATACCGTGGAAGCAAAACCTGAAAGCAAACAGTCTAGCACGCAATGTACGTAAGCAACCGTCGTTTGTCGTCTATATGGATTCAGAGCGTCCAATTTGGTTTACATAATTTTTATGAATCTGTTTATGTTGCTTAGGAAAAAAAAATTACTCTTTTATTCAGAACCCATATTATAACTTGTACACCAAAAAAGTTACCAGTCATATTTTTTATGAAAATAATAATTTTTGCTTTTACTACAAACATACTATATAAACTTACCGATTTTACTTTAATCTTTTTTATTTTAAGTTACATCGAACTATAAATTATATTGTAATTCAACTGTAATACTACATGTCACAAGTTACATCAACTATTCAGAAATTTCAGTGTAATCGCTAAAAATATAACGGCTTGTTACATAAGTGGTATAACCGCCCCCTTGTTACATAAGTCGGCCAGTTATCCATCTTTTGAACATTATGAAGCTCTCTACTGGCTTAAAATCTAGAGTGTGTCCACCTCCCTGTAAATTAAATCCATTAAACAATAGCGTAGTTGTTAATTAAATAAGTAACTAAACCTCATTTCAATTCAAATAGAAAATATTAATAGGAACACACAAAAAGACTTGCTTTGATAGTCGCAAATGTCATCTTATTAGAATAAGTTCTAGTGTATCCTGCAACCTCACTGTTTATCATCCATGGTCTCCAATCATCCATAATAGAATAATTGAGAGATCGTATCCATGCTTGAGTTTCAACATATGGCACTCCCATATCGTGATCTCCACTGCTCTTCCAACAAAAGTAAAATCTTGTGAAGGTTACTCAAAAAGCAAGAGTAATAAGAGTGTGAATTCTTACCTGAAGATTAAAGATGAGTAACCATTGATACTGTTATTCTTGTGGTATGGTACACTGCTTATAATATCTTTTGTATAAGGTATATCCCAATCACAACGTACCCATTTTCTCTTACTCTTCTGCAATCATTTGAACAACGTTACCTTAATAATTATCATTCTTTGTCGACATTCTAATCTTTAGTTGTATATACATACCTTCTCTACTTGTAGCGCGTTGCGCACGCTATTGTCATCGGCCCAGTACGAACTTAGTAAATATCCATAGTTCTGCAAAAACTAAATTCCTTCATTCTTGTTCTACTGTTTAATATTTTATAGTGGGCTAATGATAAACATAACAAGATGGGTTCAGTTACATAGCAACCAGGAGACGTTTCCTCGCAGCTTGGTGTTAGTATAGACTCCAAATTTATCCCAGAAACAAGCTGTACATAACAATAGATTTTGAATTTGTTAGAATATACAGTAAAATCTCTTAAACTGGAACTCGGCAAATGAGTAAGCATAATAAATTAGTCGTTTTCGGTCATGGATTGATCAGTTCAAAATATAACAAAAGTTGATATGATAAGATTTTTTTTAATAAGTAAAAAGTTATATATATATATATATATCTCTATGTAAAATAGAAAAAAGCACCAATCATCATTAAAACTCTCTCTGGCCCAGTTCCCTAGGTGCCGTCTCCATGGTTCCTCCCTGCAAGTTCAGCCTGGTCACTGAGTCTTCTCCACTTTGAAGCAGCTCACCACTCTCATGGCTCCTTTGCGACTCCGTCTTCCATCTCCTCCGTCGCAGCTCCGCCCTCCTCCCGACCCGCCGCCGCCGTGTACGTCTCGTCATGTGCCGCTTGAAGCTCCTCCGCCAGAACCACCAGAACCGCCAGATCCACCTGACTCATCCTTCCATCTCGTTTTCCTTCAGCTCTTCTACACATCCTTAGCATTCTCTCAAACGATTACTAAATTTTTAGATCTAGAATCTCGTTTGTTGAATCCAGAGTTTGTGACCAGTGTTGATGTTGTCTCCCTTGTGTCTGTTGGTGATACAAGCTTTGCTTTCAAGCGTTTACTTCTTGCAGTATCCAGTTTGTCTCCTTGCCGGTGTGTTGATTCAAGTTCTCGCCATTCCTCTTCAGGCAAAATCATATACCTTCATCTCCCTTTCACTAAGCTTGTTAAGGTGTTTGTTGCTATAACAATGGATACGTTCTCGCCTCCTCTCCTACTAAACCAGGTTTTATCTCAGAGATTTTTGAACTTAAATTTCAGTGATGTGTTGATATTTCTGGTTTGGTATCTTGGATTTCCTCGTGCTTTGTCTCTGGATCTTGCTTTGGTGAGGCCTTTGCCTGCAGTTTGGAGTCCATTTACTGTGTTATACAGTCCTACCGTTATGGTATTCCAGTCCTTTTGTGTTCAGCTATGGCATCTTGATGGATTAATGTCTCACATTTCCACTCATCCCGTCGATCGGGTTTTATTGGACGTTTATTATCCAGGTTCTTTCTTTATGGAGCTTGTTTCTTTCCCAATTTCATCAACTACTTTATGTGGTTTGGATGCAGGGAGTTTAATGTTGAAGATTAGAGATACTTCAAATACTGAAGTTCTAATCAAAGGCTGTTTAGCCATGTTAAGGATTGTTAATCGTGCACTTGTTGCTGTTTCAATCTCGGGATACATATCACTGGTTGTGGTCTTTAACTCCCAAGGCTTCGTCTCACTTTTCAGCTTGATGGTCGTTGAGTTTAGAGGACTTCTTTACATCATTAGTTGTTTAAGTGTGGTGTTTGCCCCTATCTTTTTATTCTGCATTTGCTTCCTTGTAATAAGTGTTTCTTTGGCCATGATGGTTATGTTTTCGTATCATGTGAACATTCTCTCCATTCATGGAGAGTAAAATCTATAAATTGAAGTTTGAACAAAAAAAATATATATATCTCTATGTGTGGTTTATTAATTCCTGATCGAATAATTAGGCAGATAAAATAATAAACCAACTACTGTATATATTACCATCATACATGTATCCATATTCTATACCTTGTCGAAGTCTTCGATGAGTTTCAAACATTCTACATTACGAGAATCAACATTTATGTAATTTCCTCTGCATCTTCTCTCTAGTGACTGCACGAAACTCGTAGCGTTTTTAAAGTTCTCCCTAGCTACCTCGTTAGTCGTTATGATTTCCAATTTTCTTTTAAGAGGCAAAAAAGCATGCTATATTTCATACCTCGTAGAGTTCATCAGAGATCAATGCCATTCCATGAGAAAATGGAATCCGGTAGTTTATTGGACTACCATTGCTTGTTATTGGATTTCCTAGCACATAACCCTGTTATTGGTTAGCGCTGTGAATTTTTTAAACGGTCCTTCTAAATGCATGAGAAAGTGTACATAATATATACATATAAGAGGCAAGCTAGCAATAATAATTTACCTGGAGATTAATTTGAGGTTTGCAGCATATATAGTTTCCTACATGGTAGTGTATATTTACATATATAAAATGGAGGACAAAGGTTATCAAAAAATGACATCCTGACGCAAAATATACCTTTTGAGATTTCTTGAACAATTGCTGGAACAACCTTACCAGAATAAGAATTTCCGGAGACATAGAAATGATTAGAAACAAAATCTGGATGGTTTCCTAGCCACTGCATTGCATTACGTGTGTAACCACCAAAATAATTGAAAAGGCTTTGAAATATTCGATGCATAAAAAACCATGCAACAAGAAAAAGATAAGTGTTGGTGTTTTTAACCTTTTGAAGAAACTCATGGACGCGCTTAGCTTCTCCTGTGTCGCTTGGTATATCCACGCGTGGAGTTTTTGAAAAGGAGAAGCCACTCCCGACAGGCTGATCTAAATATATCACGTTTGCAATCTGACAACCAGTGATTGAACAAATATCAAAAGAAGGAAAATATTTATGTATAAAATTACTTTAGTTATTTTATAACGAAGAGATTCCAGGTTCCACTTTCAAGATGGATGGTTACAATGAAAAACATGGATGCATGCCTAGCCAATGTTACGTATATCATGTTCTTTGACTCGGACCACACTACAGAAAATAGACTTTGTGACAAGGTACTATAATGTGTACTACATTTGTCCATGAATATGTAGAAGAGACCAAGGAAGGGATGCCTCCATTGTAACCATCCAGCTTGATAGTCAGAGGCCCTGCGGTTTCAACTATGGTTTAATGACAATGTTTTTGAAGGTAAAGATGAAATTAAAATTAAACATAAGAAGTTACCATTCTCGAGTAGAAAAGCACTGAGGGAAGAGCAACCAGGACCTCCACTTAACCAGAGAAGAAGAGGGTCTTCTGCTGGATTCCTCTCAGATTTAATGAAGTAATAAAATAATTGAACTTCCTCTGCCTCACCAATACCAATGTACCTATATTATATATCTATGAATCATTATTAAGGAGAGTAATTCTAAAACGTCTGGTTTAGTCAACATGAGCAATTAATCAAGATGGAGTTAGAGAGAAAACAGACCCGGTTTCAAGTTCAAATGGAAGAGGACCTTCAAAACCAGGAAGATGCTTGATTATAGAGGCTGAATCAACATGGTGAAGCAAGAAAAGTAGAAGCAGCAGTAGTTTCAGGTACTCTTTACCCATTCCTTTTGTTTAGTTAGTGAGAATGAATTATAAAATCTTGAGACAAAAGCTGGTGTTTATAACAAAGGAATAAAACGAGTAGGTTGCATTTCTTGATTCACTTGTCGTCTTTTTAACTAACTAATATTCGTCATGTATTGCTAATAGGCTATTACTTACACTGGGACACAACAACACAGAATAAGCAGAAACATTTCCTTTAGGATAATAATTAAAAACACACACACACTAGCAATTTACACAATACAATGCTGCATCCAATGCTACACGGTGGCACTATTAATGGAAACAAACAGATTTATGTTGAGAAATGATGGTTGGGACATATCCGGAAATGGACCAGACCACATCAGTCTCACTTCAGTCCAAGACCAGGCGACAAGCACCTTATCCTTATCCATACCAGGCGGCCAAGACTTGTCATTATCCTCCCTTGTATTTATCCATATGTTGTAGTTATCCTAATCATTATAGGATTAGGATAATCATCCCCTTTA